AGGAACATACGGCGTGTAACGACGATTGCTAAAACAGTTTGAAAAAAATACAATTAAATGTGGAAAAATGTATGCAATATATGATAGCTCTATGGTACTTACACGTTACATTGTTTCTTGCACGATATACTCAGAGGAACGTACTGATTCATTCTTCTAACACTGTGTTGAAAACACCGATGAAATCGACTAACTCCGACGGCGGCGACTGAAACTCTGAGGTCGTCTTTACTATTCGAAGTCCTACACAAATTTGTATTTGCTCCCCCACCCATAATCCTAGGTCGACAATCTCCCGACCGGTCGTCGACAGAGTCGATGCAATTATTTTTTCAATACATAGGTGCCGAAACGATATCTGTTACATGTCACGTAGTCAGCACCTAGCGCGATGTCAAGACCGCGTGCTCCCGCGGTCTCCTCGCCACGGAGTACCCTCCCCACCACACTCCCCCTCGCCACGGAGTACTCCCCGCGCCCCGCTCCCCCCTCGGAGCTCCTGGGTTAGAACTCCCTTCTATCACCTACTTACAGGAGTATTTCATATTAGCGCCGCTATATCGACAAAAGTTCTGGAGACGCTCTGGAATTTATCGGAGAGGATGTCTAAACGGGATCCTCAGGTCTGTAAAGGAAGAACAGTGACGGGATTAATTCTACGGAAGCCTACTCGCGAATTAGAATTAATTCCCACCCGAATATTCCCCCCCTGGCCTTTAACTCCGGTCAGGAACAGGAAACGGATCAGGGTCAGGACAGGAACACGCCCGAGCAGCGCCTCGTTATGCGTGAGATTTCAGTAACATTTGTACACCGGGAAGCACCCCGTTGAGTGTACGTTACTGCGGAGATACTCCGTTCCCCCGAAACACGGACGCGCCCGCTGTTACGGAGGATGACGGAGTCAGGAACGGATACGGGAGACCGGTACGGGAAAATGTAACATGTGTACACCGAGGAGCACCCCGTTAAGTGTACGTTACTGCGGGCCGGGGTGCATGACGGAGTAGCGCCTCCGCTGACATGCACCCCGGTGTGGTCTACGGCCGATTGACAAGAGCACCCGTGTACTCGGCGCGGACCGCAGTGGATGTGGGAGGCATCCATCGCCGGGTGTCTTCGCTCGGAGCACCGAGGCAAGACTGACTTGTTCTCGCCAGCTCCGGAGGGCTTTTATACCCCCCAGAGTATAGGCGCGCGGGGTAGAGACGGCAGGGGCAGGCGCGGCGTTGCCAGTTAAAGTTGACATGGCAACCGCGCCGCTATCGCTCTCTCACTCGCACCCGGTAGTGCGTTCTCTCTCGCGCTTGCGCTGTTGCCGCGCTCGCTCGCACCCGGTAGTGCGTTCTCTCTCGCGCTTGCGCCTTCCCTGTCGCCTTCGTCACACCTATATTTTTAATATAGGTTATTTCCAGTACTGTGTTGCGAACTTGGTCTGAGTCGGGAACTGTATTTCGCCGATCGCAGGCAACTGTTCGCTTCAAGCGACTGTTATTTGGTGCCGGACCGAGCTCCGACTGGTGCTCCGAAAGCTAGAGATGTTGTAGGCAGGACTCTTACATAACGGTTTAGCTGACACAGAATGTACTTTATTCACACAAATTGAACTGAACAGGATTAATTTCTTTGCAGACGGCTCAGTGAACCGCGGCGCGTCCGTCTCTATCCGACGAATGTAGTTTGGTCGAATTCGATCGTCCGCTGGCTTCGGAGCGACCGCCGGAGTCGCTGGGAACGCGACCGTGCCGGTGACCTGACTTTTTGCGGCGATGTCCTCACTCCGAGGAGACGATTCGCGTGGAGAGTCGGTTTTGAGCTGTGCGACTCGCGTGCCCTACGCGTTCTATTGACTGAGAAGTGGCGATAGCTATCGGTTCGCGTTGCCTCTTATTTGTCCGTATCCTCGCTTTAGCTCTTGAGCGACGACTGATCTGACTTTCGTCAGGTCGCACCGGCCGAATCCGAATTTGTTTTTCTAGTCCGGATCCCAATGTCGAGGACTGATTACAATTCGGTGTTTTCGCCGATCACGAATCCGTCGACACTGGGATCCGTGCTGCGAGGTATCACGCGGACCGCGTTTATTTTGGTGACCGCCGAAAGTCACCGGCGATCGAGCTCGTCGATTTGCTCGGGATTGCTGTTCGTTACCGCGAATCCCGAACAACTGGTTGTGAGGAAAACATACAGGCTAAGGTTAGTATACCTTTATTACATAGAAAAATATTAGCTGACAATGATGATCGCAGAACTTATAAATCGCAAAGGTGTTTTACATACGGTCGTGGTCAGAAAGGTTGTTCGACCGTTTATGCTAAGTTTCGGAACACAGCCCATCATATCAGAAATTTTAGCTTCTGCTCACGAAATACTTGTATGTATCATTCTACAGATATTTGTATGTGTTACGTCCGATATTATAAGGGGACGCGCGTCTCGCTGGGAGACGAGGTGAATTGAGAGAGTAGGTTGGGTGGCTAGTAGAATGAATACAACGTCTGGGAAGGAACTAAATTATATATTGTAACAGAAATGGATATTTACAACGCAGAGAGAAAGAGGGATAATAAAAGAGAGAACGAAAAGAAAATGGGGGAAACTTAGCCCAGTGAGGGCATGTCCTTGGTGGCTCGAAGCTGAGTCCTGGGCCGATGGACTATCCGGACCTTCTGGGGGAGGGCCTCAATCTTCACGACGCAAGGCCGAGTCCGGCGAGGGGCCAGGTGCGGTTGCAGGGCCCTTGGTTCCTGTGGTGGCCTCTTCGTCGCGTCCGCCGGTGGTGCCGGGGGCGCACTGCCCAGGCTGGCCTTTGGAGGCCTAGGCGCTGGGGTAACGGGAGGGCGCGGAGCCCACGTCCTGGGCGGGCAAGGATCTGGCGGCCTGTACTGTGGCGGGAGGTGTGGGTGGCCAGGGGCTAGCGGAGGTTTCGCTGGAGAAGGAGGATGAAGCGGGAGCGCGGGTTTACTAGGCTCTGTTGGCCTGTCGAAAATCCTGGGGTCAAAGACCTCAGGGGTAGCGTATGCTCTCACTAACCGGCGGAACTGGACTAAACGTCCAGCTCGTCGCGATCTGCCCATTTCTGGGAGTGCCTGCGGGAAGCATCTCGGATTAGCAGTGTTATAAAGCTGGGGAAGCAATGCATGCTGTTAGTCATGATGGTGGTTAACTCTAACTTATTATTAATTAATATAAATCCCTTAAGTAGGCATTCAGAGAAAGGTAACTGTTTCAAGATCGCGGGGGAGGAAGTGAAATTGAAACTTCAGATGCTGTCGTTTTAGTAGAATGCTCAGATGGATTCTTCGATTATAATAATCGATTTCAGTGCCGTCATCACTGCATTCTTGGCAACTTCTGATTCATATTATTGTAGTAGGGAGACCCGAGAGTGAGTAATGTAACTGCGGTTAACCTTGATCTGAAATTGGAACGAGTAAGTGGCAAACCAAATGTGATTGCGTTAACTACTTCATGAAACCAACAGAAATAACTAAAGTTAATAGAGATTTGAGGACGTGAGAACGGTAAGTTTCGCTGTGTGCCAATCTTAGAATGAGATTCCGTCTGTTCGAGGGTACCCTGTGAAATTGCCCCTGGAACGACTGGGAACTGAGGTTGGTTACGACGGAGAAGGTCCCCCTTTCTTTTGCGGGGTTCAGACCAGGTGACTGGTGTTCATGACGTGGAGGAGATCGGTAAGGACTGGCGGCTCAATGCCAGTTCGAGGAGATGTGGTGGGTTTCCGCCGGAGGAACGCCGTTACGAAGG